ACTACCCTCAATGTAACACTCAGTAACATTCCCCACTACCCTCAATGTAACACTCAGTAACATTCCCCACTACCCTCAATGCAACACTCAGTAACATTCCCCACTACCTTCAGTGTAACACTCAGTAACGTTCCCCACTACCCTCAACGTAACACTCAGTAACATTCCCCACTACCTTCAACGTAACACTCAGTAACATTCCCCACTCCCCTCAGTGTAACACTCAGTAACATTCCCCACTACCTTCAGTGTAACACTCAGTAACATTCCCCACTACCTTCAGTGTGACACTCAGTAACGTTCCCCCACACCCATCGGTGTAAAACTCAGTGACGTTCCCCCACACCCATCAGTGTAACATTCAGTAACGTTCCCCCCACCCATCGGTGTAAAACTCAGTGACGTTCCCCCACACCCATCAGTGTAACACTCAGTAACGTTCCCCCACACCCATCGGTGTAACATTCAGTAATATATCCCACTCTAATCATCAATGTGCCTGAGATACGTAGGCAAAAAGTTTACTTTGAATCATTGTATCAAAATCTGAATGCCGCCTTCCAAAGCCCAGGACGGAACAAGGCCCTGCCAAAATTCACTATTTTGTGTCTTAAAACTTGCAGTTATCACTGACCTTTCGATGATAGTATTTATTTGTTTCTCAAAGCCAATTTAGTGGTTAAAAATACATCTTCATTTATAAATTTATACTATTTTATCAGGATATAACTGTTTATGTGCATGGAGAGACGGCCCAGAGCATTCAATTTGAAAACAAATATGCATTTGACATTGGGTGAACTAGATATTTTTATTGGCCATGATTTTTGCTGTTAACAGGTATTTCTCACAATTTCGTGACAAACTGAAGAGTTTAATATTCTTGGAGGTGACTCAGACAGCAACAGATAAACGTAAAGAGCCAAGTTTAAATGATGTCGATTATAACAAGTCAAGACTGTAGTTTCCAATTTGATCCCAGATCAATATTTACTCCACAACAAACATCACTAAATCAGGCAAAAAAAAAACCCCGAAAGGACTGTGGGTGCTGGAAATGAGAAACAAGAGCAGAAATTGCTGGAGACACTTAGCAGATGAGGTGGCATCTGCGGAGAGAAAGCGGAGTTAACATTTCGTGTCCAGTTCTGAAGAAGGGTCACTGGACCCAAACGTTAACTCTGCTTTCTCCCCACAGATGCTGCCAGACCTCCCAAGTTTCTCCAGCAATTTCTCTTTTTGTATCAGTAAATAAGATTATTTTGGTTCTGTCGCATTATTATTAGAGGGAGCCTGCTGTGTGCAAATTGGTTGCTGCATTTTCTACATTGTGACATTGACTAAACTACAATAGGGTATCTTTCTCTGCAAAGCATTGTGGGATGCCCAGATGTGGATGGTGCCACATAAATGCAGATTCTTTCATTGACCTAAACCTGAGCAGCAGTTATCCATTGCCCACTAATCTCTGGGAAGTACGGCCCATGCACTGTCTGCTCCGCTCTCCAATGACCCACTCAAACACCTTAACATACCATCCTGGGACTTCACTGGCAGTGAGGGGAAGACTTGCTTTCTTCCAGTGGCAAGAGCTGGGTTAGGGTCGGTTGGATGTTGTCAGATCGTTTGTGTGTTCAAGTCCTGTTCGAAACACCCACTGGCATCACTGTAACACCTATCTGGTCATTAGCAAGGCGGTTGCTTTTGGGATCTTCCTGTGCACAAAATCGGCTGCTGCTTTGATGACGTTCTAACATTGACTACACTTCAAAAGTACTTCCTTGGCTGTTAATGTGGTTCCGGAGGTCCTGTGGATGTGAAAGATGCTATAGAGATGCAATTATGACCTTCGGTTTGTGCAGAGGCACATTCTTGCTGAGATATAAGAACTTAAGAAATTACAGTAAGTGTAGGTCGTCTGGACCCTCAAGCCTGCTCTCCCACTCAATAAGATCATGTCTGATCTAATTGGATCCACCCCAATAATAACCTTTGAATAACATATAGATTAAAAATTTCTCAGTCTTCAGTTTATTCCAAGACACTGCCTCATACTGCCCAAGAAGAGAATTTTCAGACTAACAACCAATGAGAGAAGGGAATCCTCTTCATCTCCTTTTTAGATAGGACATCCCTTTTGTTTTAGAAACTGCATGACAATCAAATTTCTCTTTAATGTGATTTAAAACAAGGGTAACATGAGGAAAAGCCTTTCCACTCAGTGAGTGGTTACGGTGTGGAACTATGGTGGGGGTCAGGTTCGATTGAGGCATTTGAGAGAGGATCGGGTGGTTATTTGAATAAAACAATGTGCAAAGCTATGGTGGTGGGTGAGGGTGGGGGTGACAAAGGAGGAGATTGGCTTTAGGTAATGATGCTCAGTTGAAGAGCCTGTGTAGGCACAATGGGCTGAATGGTCTCCTCCAACTCCATGGCAATTCTGTGATTCTCGTGGATGGCCTGAGAATGACCAGCTTTTCAGTTGTGTGAAGGGACCATAAAATGAGGAACAGGCTGTTTGGCCCTTCAAGCATACTCTCCTGTTTAATGGCTGGCCATCCAACACATACCCTGTTCCTGCTTTCTCCACATACCCTTTAATCCCCTTAGCCTTAAGAACTATATCTAACTCCTTCTTGAAAGCATTCAATGTTTTGATCTCAACTGCTTTCTGTGGCAGAGAATTCCACAGGCTCCCCCACTCTCTGTGTGAAGACATTTCTCCTCAACTCAATCGTAAATAGCCTACCCCTAATCCTTAGACTGTGACCCTTGGATCTGGCCTCCCTGGTCACTAGGAACATCCTTCCTGTTGTTACCCTGTCTGGTCCTGTTTATATTTTAAAAAAAACCTGACATGCAAGGTTGGAAATAACTAGTTTGGATTTTGCTCAGTCAACAATAGTTAACATCCAAATAAAAGGAAGTTTGAGGAGGCATTGAATAATATATGTTTCTATTACACAATCTCTAGCTAAGATGTAAGTCAGCAAAAGATGCCTCTGCTGTTCAATTTGACATGAAGGATTTGAACCTTATTGTTAAAAGATGAGTGGATTATTTTCAAAGGCTAAAAGGACACACTATTATCAGATTGGTGTTACAGTGGGAGAGGGAAATATACAATGAGACTGGGTGTCCCTGTAGAGCAGTCATCGAAAATGCAGGAGCAGCAGGCAAATGGTACATTGGCCTCAACAGTGAGGATTCAAGTAGAATCATAGAATCCCTGCAGTGTGGAAGCAGGCCATTTGGCCCATCACCAACCCTCCGAAGAGCATCCCATCCAGATCAACCCCCACCCCCCAACCCACGTCCTGCATTTCCCATGGCTGATCTGCCCAGCATGCATATCCCTGGACACTATGGGCAATTTAGCATGGCCAAGCCACCCTAACCTGCACAACTTTGGACAGTGGGAGGAAACCGGAGCACCCAGAGAATGTGCAAACTCCACGCAGACAGTCACCCAAAGCTGGAATCAAACCTAGGTCCCTGGCACGGTGAGGCAGCAGTGCGAACTACTGAGCCACCTTCCTGCAGTAGGGGAATCTCGCTACAAATACATAGGGCCTTATCGAGACCACACTTGGAATATTGTGCACAGTTTTGGTCTCTTTATTCTAGGAAGGGTGTTCAGGTGATAGAGGGAATGCAACAAAGGTTTACCAGACTGATTCCAGGGATGGTGAGACTGATGTAGAGGGATCTGTTACACACTGGGTGGGTTAGGATTATATTCACCAGAGTTTAGAAGAATGAGGGCAGCAGGTGATCTCATTGAAGCCTATAAAATTCCAAAAGGTCTAGACAGTGTACTCACAGGAAGGATGCTCCTAGTGACTAGGGAATCCAGTATCAAGAGTTACAGTTTAAGAAGAGAGCGTAGGCCATTACAGACTGAGATGATGAGTAATATCTTCACCCAGACAGTGATGAACCAGTGGAATTTTCATACACAGCAAGAGGTTGAGAAGAAAACATTAAATGTTTTCAAGAAGGAGTTAAATAAGGCTCTCAGGGCTAAAGGGATCAGAGGGCATAGGGAGAAAGTGGGAACAGTGGATTGATTGGATGATCAGCCATGATTATATTGAATGGGTCACAATCCTGGATATCCCTCCCAATAGGTCCACCTACAGCACATGGACTGAAGTGGTTCAAGAAGGCAGCTCACCACCATCCTCTCAAGGGACAATTAGGGACGGGTAATAAATGCTGGG